CCTGCTGAAACTCTCAAGAGTAATGTTTTACCAAATATCTTGGCACCCTTCGATCCAGTTAACACATACAATTAATCATCAGAGCCCATATTCTATCACCCTGACCTCCAAATGTCTCCAAATAATATGGTAACAAACTCCATGATAGAACATGATAGATAGCCTAACATGATAGAACTATATTAGACACAATAAAAAAATGCACTCACCCACCCTTTGACCAGTAGAGGAATTTACTCTTCTTCTGAATATCCTGTAATTTCAATACTATGACATAAAGTCAATAGGTTCCTGTTACATGATAAGGGGATAAATAAGGAAGGAAAGCAAAAGATTTTTGAGATACACGAACATGTAACAAAATAAGAAATACTTATGACCATCACAACTCTTTTTTTTGGAGAGGTTTTTGCTATAGGGCACGTGCGCTCGCCAGAGAGACAGAGAGACAGAAAGCAAGAAATCACCCCCCCAGGGGGGATGGCCACGCCGCAATCCCTTCTCCTCCATTCTCCTCTCGAGATCTTGGGCATGCACGCACACGCACCCGGTGCGAGCTTTAAGCCACCGGGTGCGGGATGTGAACCGCGGTTGGCTACATGGGAGTCGAGTGACATAGCCATTACGCTAACTGCTGGTCCCACAACTCATTTTCATAACTGGTCACGTGGTCACAGTTGGTATTTATAACAACGTTCTCCTACTATCCAGTTCATATTTCCATTGCCTTCAGCAAGCACTTCAGCTGGTCATGATTCTTTACTTGGTGAGGTAAACCTTCATTCCTGAAGGGTCTGGGCCATTAGTAGCCTTGTCTAAACTGGGCTGTAGTCTTCCATTGACTTTAATTGCAGAGCATAGGAATACTAAGAGGTGCCTTAGAAGGTCTCCTGTATTGCATACATACTCTTCGGTACCTCCATTGTGGAGTAGTAGTCTGATTCCCCTTGGTAGTTGCTCACCCAGTAACTTCCTTTGTGGACTGAGAAGCAATGAGAAATTAAAAGTGGCCCACGGCAGTAATTAACTTGGAGTCCAACTGAATCATTGTTGTGTCCCTTGGTAGAAGCAGTTCCCACTGGAACTAAGAACTCTAGATTGGCAGAGTGTAAGACCAGAGGAACAGAGAGCAAAACTTTAGCTAGTAGTTCATTCAGAGTAACAATGAGTGGCGTTACTCCCATTTCTACCCCTTGATTCCAAGACCTGGCTATAGGAGTATCCATCATGTATCCGATGCTGATTCAGAGCATAGGCAGCATTTTAGAAAACCTTCTCCTAGCCCTGCAAGGTATTGTCACCTAGCTGGCATTATGATGAAGCCTTCAAAGGACTAGGCCACTATTTGATCAAGCTGGCTGCTTTAGGAGGGCAGGAAATATGGTAAGACCAGTAAATGCATGAACATGAGCCTGTTTCCACACTTCATTGCTGTGAAGAGTTCTCTGACCAGAAGCAATCCACATGCAATCCCCTGGCTGTGCAGATGGCCTTCTGTATGGCCATTCTGGCAAAGCACTGTATGCAGGCAAGAGCAGTCTCAAGGTTAAGTGTTTATTCTAATAAGAACAAAATGTTGCCCTTTCCATGATGGACGATGGACTTTTTACAACCCACCCCCACATAGCTGGCTGATGCTCCAGAAATGGTGCCATACTGTTGGACTCTGCTGCTGACAGATGGGCATTCATCAGCGGCTCCAGCCAGGCTGGCCTTGGTGAGTGGACATCCATGTTGCCGAATCCATGCAGAACTTTCAGCTGTGCCACCATGGCCACTTTGTTCCTGAGCCCAGTGTGTCCCATGTGTAATGACAGTGGTGGCCAGGGAAAGAAGCTGTTTCCCATAAGAGTCATCCTAACTGGCTGATTATTAAAATCATCTGATAGGCCAGCAGTTGGCATAGTGGTTAAGATGTTGGACTCTCACACAGCTGACCACGGTTTGAGTACCAGACCCAGAGGCCTAAAACTCACTCTGGGCACATGTACACGTGTGACCAAAATCCCAAGAGGAGAATGGAGAAGGGAGGTGGCATGGCCACCCCCACCCCCCGGGAAGTGATTTCTCACTTTCTGTTTCTCTGTCTCTCTGGCAAGTACACACCCCCTATAGCAAGAATCTCTTGAAAAAAAAAAAAATCATCATTTGCTGAGATTACTCTTTGGTGGGGATTGGCATGGGATACAATTACCTTAACTTTTTCACTCACTCAAAGAAGTCTTTCCACATGCTTTGTCCCCAGATGTGTTCACCCTGTTTCCCAAATATGTTCCTTTAAAGTCCCTGACCATCCAGCAAAACCCCTGGCCACATACCTCCTGAGAGGTCCAGGCAAAAATCTTTCAGAATTTCTAGGCTCCCAGCCTCAGGAAGTCCAAAAGTCTGATTTAATATTCCTGTTATTGCCAACACATAAATTCTCATCTCTTCCACTCTTTAAGAGTAGGGTTTTTTAAAATTATTATTATTTTTTAAATTTTTATATAGGGCATAAGTGCTCACTGGAGACACAGAGACAGAAAGCAAGAAGTCACTCCCCAGGGGGGATAGCCATGATGCCATCCCTTTTCTTTCATTCTCCTCTCAGGATGTTGGGTATGCATACATGTGTCAGGTGTGAGTTTCAAGCTGCTGGGTGCAGCTTGACTCAAACCATGGTCAACCATGTGGGAGTCCAGCACCATAACCACTATGTTACCTGATGGCCCCTCTAATTTTTTAGAGTTTATTTCTCCCATGAGAGAGTGAGATAGAGACAAAGGAGATGGGCACCACCAACAGGGGCTTCATGCTGTGATCCACCCCAGCCTATCAGTCTGTATCACAGGCAGGTGTATGTGTGCAGGTGAGTGTATGAACAACTTGGGATGTGAATCTGGGAATTTCCCTTGTGTGTCTAGCATTGCAAAGCAGTGCATTACCCCTGGGCCACCACTCAGTCCCTCTGCTGCTCACTGAGCTCTGCTCCATTGCCCAGCCTTGTGGTTCCACACCATAATGAGCTCAGCGCAAGACTTTTGATTTCCACAAGAAATACCCACACCAAGCCTAACTCTGATGGGCGTTTACTAGACACACAGGCTGGGAAAAGTTGTTAAGATACTTAGTCCACATCCTCTCCCCAACCTTCAGGTGTTGCCTCTTCTCTTCCTTTTATAGTTTTTTTTTTTTTTTTTTTTGAGAGGATTTTGCTATAAGGCGTGTGCACTCGCCAGAAAGACAGAGAGAGACAGAAAGCAAGAAATCATCCCCCCAGGGGGGATGGCCACACCTCAATCCCTTCTCCACCGTTCTCCTCTCAGGATCTTGGGCACACATGCACATGTGCCCGGCGTGAGTTTAATCCACCGGGACCGGGACTCGAACCATAGTTGACTACATGGGAGTCCAGCGACACAGCCATTATGCTAATTGCTGGTCCCCTTTTACACTTTTCTGAAAGCTAAAAACTCATTTTTTTAAAAAGAGATTTTTACTATAGGAAGTATGATCTCACCAGAGACAGAAATTGAGAAATAACCGCAATTTCTTCTCCATTCTCCTCTCAAGATTTTGGGCATACACACACACCCGCCTAGTATTGTTTCAAGCCCCTGGTCTAGGACTCAAACTGTGATCAAGTGAGTGGGAGTCCAGTGTCTAAACCACTATGCCACTTGCTGGCCCCAAACTCCAGTTTCTATGAAAAGCAATTTTACCACCCAGGCTGATTAGCTGTGTACTCCCCAAATTTTTGTTATTGGCTTATTAGAACTCCTCCCTTTAGGAGGTATAGGAACTCTATCCAAATCAGCCTTGGGGGAAAGTAGATTTTTTTTTTTTTTAATGGAATCAAAGGGCAGGTTTACATCAACCAAACTGCAGAGAGATTTAGCTGTAATAGTCTTGGCTGTGCTTCAGTAAAATGTGGGACAGCCACTTCACCAATTTTCACACCTGCAGTTTATGCACAGTGTCACCAGATCACCAGAGGAGGGGTAATTAATATTGTCTGCTGGGTAACACAGAGAAATACTTTCATAGAAGCCTCTTGAGGTGAGCCTTTTGGACTGAGTGTGATGTATCAAACTAAGACGGGATTACAGGGAGACTTTCAGGTGTGAGTAAATGGACATAAACACCTCTTCTTTCAGACCTCTCCTTTTATGTGCTAAAAAGGAGAGGTCTGCAATTCGGCATCTGAAATAATCAGAAAACATAAAAGTACGTTAGTGCAAGGACAAGAGAGTAAATGTTTGCTTGAACTGAAACACAACTGTTTGAACAAGCAAGTTACTCAACCCTGTACAACGCGGCTTTCTCATCTGTTACGGGAGAGGGTAATACCTTCAGTAGGCTCACATGATGATTAAATAAGATTAAGATTAAATACGATGAAATAAAATAACCATTAGTCAATGCTTTAGCACACTGTAAACAATAAATGCTCTAACGATACATTAACGATTAGTTTATATTTGTAACTGTAGCTGGAAAGTTACATTGGATGTTAAATGCCAGCTAGATTCCATTTGTAACCATTTAAACTGGGTTATTTATGCAAGCTAGTCATTATTATCGTAAAATACTTTAAAAAACTCCTTTCGTTAGTCCGGTTCACTGTGGTACAAAACTAGAAGAAACCCGGAAATGGAAACGAGTTAGATGCTTTGCTTTTACTTGAGGCTGAGAGGAGTGAGAAAGGAAAGTGTAACAGGCACGTGTTCCAAAGAAGAGTTGAACAAACGCGCGGAGGTGAGCTCCCGTGGGACCTGCAGGGCGCTGGGTTTCCACCCCAGAGGAACCGAGGGCTCAGGAAGGAAGATCCCGGGGCAGTCACGGCGATGGCGTCGCCCTGGAGCCCCGCGGCTGAGACACGCCCGGCCTCACTCTCCAGGCGTGGGACCCCCGAGAGCGCCCGCGCTGGACGAGACAGGTCGCAATCTTCTTCAACTCCGTCCGCTGCCAGACTCCGTCTACCACCACCTGGCAGCCAGATCCCGATCCGCCTTGCCCCGGGGCTCCTACACACGGCGGAGCTTCCTTCCCAGCTCCCCGGGCGGCGCCGACGTGAGGTCACTTCCGGTCGCCGACACGCACGTGGGAGGAAGTGCCAGTGACGGCGGCCGCACCAGGTGACCAGATCA